GTGTGTGTGTGTGTGTGTGTGTGTGTGTGTGTGTGTGTGTGTGTGTGCTCCTAACCAGGCATAAACAACCCTTATTAGTCCATTTTTGTGTACTCTACACAATATAATAGTTGTTTTTAACATAATCATCTTGCCTTTATATTTAGTATAAGGAAAATTACTTTTGATATTGTATGAGTTTTCTTTTGCTTATAATAGGTAAAAACACTAACATCTTTGTGACAGCAGATGGCAGCACATAGTCTTTTCAGCTTCAGAGTTCTTGTTCATGTTTGATCAATAGACAGTTTATTTCCTTCATGCAACAACTTTCCAGTATTTACATTTTCTTACTAATTAAATTGCTTTTTTAACTTCACTCTGTTACCTGCATGTTTTGGTTTAAAATGTAGTATTATTTCCTAATTGTCCTTAAGTCATTTTTGTAAGCACTTGTTACCTTTTAAAATATGCAAGTTGAATAATTTAAAAAGCCAGTTTCACGTGGAGAACCCAACCTGATAGTTTTTTGTGCCACGCGTGTCTTACAATGTTAATTGGTTTTATTATTATTATTATTTTTTTTTACAAAGAAACAGTTATCCAGTGATGTGATCGCTCTCTCTACAGACAGAACTAAACAAACTGTGACTTTCAGCTGTCAGGCTTGGCCTAATAAAACAGACAAATGATCTACAATTAAACCCAGAAATGACAAGTGTTGTGCTTTGCTCAGTCATCTTCAAACAAGTTGTTGCACCAACTTTATATTCCCGTTTCCACCTAAATTTTAGTGGCAGAATTAGAAATTGGACTGGATCACAATACTTGTGACAGGTTGTATTTATGGAAGCAGATAATAGTTTTTGTTTAGACTTCGTTTTCTGTAAACACCACGTTACATTTGTGGTCATTTTTAAATCTCTTCTAGCTTATGTTAAACTTGCTATAATGAGTCTCTGACTCTGTCTGTTTTCTATCTCTCTTCTCCCTATCAGGACAGCAGCCATCCAGAGACGCTGATCAACCTCATAGTGCTGACACAGCATCTGGGCAAAGCTCCTGAGGTGAGACTTTGGACCCAGTGTTTTTAGAGAGGCCACTGCTTTAACAGCTATGTTTAATAGTGTCCTTTAAGCAAACAGCTAGCAGACGACATTAAACGCGTTTCGTTTCATCACTGTTGTTGTGCAAATTCAATAAGTACATCCAAGCAGGGTTGTGTTGCTTTTGAAGAATGTTGTTTATTAGGCAGTGTAATAAGACGTGGCATGTTATTGGTGAACCTGCATATATAGAGAAACAAAGATGCCACAAAGTTTTTGGATTCTGATGCTGTTTGGCTGATCTACATTCTGCACCTCTTCAGTAAACTCTAAATTTTTTTTCTGTCATTAAGAGATTCAGTGTCATCTGTTTTTTTTATTTTTATTTTTTTTATGAGAGATCCAGACTTTGCATGTTCTTTGGCTACAACGCTTTAATCAGAAAAATTGTAAACATTTCCCCAAAAAAACAATATTTTTCTGCACATCAGCTGAGTTAATGATGTGTAAGCTTTACAATTTGAGACTCAGAGTTCATGAGATAAAAACAGAGTAATCGGACTTGCATTTGAGGAACTTGATAATGAAATTTTACGCTGACTATAAAAACAAGTGATGAATCGAATGTTTCCAGGTGAGATCTGTTTAACATTTACCTGGTGAAATGAGACAATTTCTTTGTAAAATTACTTTTATGCTGAAATGGAAAAATGAGAATAACCCTTAAAAATGTAATGATTTGACTTTTGTGTCGTGATAACAAAAGTTTGAATCTTTACAAATTATTTTTTACTGCATGTGAGTGCATGCACAACTCCTGTCAAAGTTATTTAAGCATTTTTCAGACATACTTTCTAACAACTGCGTTAAGTTCTTCTAAGCTTTGCAGCCTAAAGATCATTCAGTGCAGCATGTTTCTCTTAAACATTAAATATTTATGTCTCATGACTAATTTAGCAACAGAGTGTTTGGAAAACTGTTGCATATAATTTACTATGAGTTTTACTGTACATGTATTCTATCGTGTTTGACAGTGAATAGCTCCAGAGTTTGAGTCAGATTTTTTCTGTATTGTGATTTTTGCACTGTTGTCTTTAGCAGAAGTTCCCAACATTAAAAATAGTTTTTAGGGCCCTGAAACATTTTTTTTATCGTCAATTCTTTGTAAATTTTCTCTAAAAACCTGCTTTTCAGAGGTTGTAGGTTTTGCTTCGTAAGCTTTTTATGGCTGGCTGTAATCATAATCTGTTTGTGTACCCTCAGGTCACCAATCGATATCTCTCCCAGCTGAAAGATGCACACAGAGCCCACCCGTTCCTCAAAGACTACATCGCCAAGGTAAATTGCGTATTATTAATTCAGAGGAAGATACTTGTATCTGTTGTACAGCATGAGTTGGTCATAAAACCCAGATTTATTTATTAATCTACTTAATGCTGCTCATTTTGTAGTTTAGCTACAAATTTGTTTATGTTGAGAGCAGGTGTTCTTGGTCTAAAGCCAAGGAGAGCATTAAACTCTGACTCTAGCCCTTGTCGCACATTGTGTTGTAATTACATAAGGGTACAGATGTGCAAAATAGTGGGTTACCAAACCAACTGGGACATCCACAGCAGCTCTTATGGTAACACTTTTTTTTTGTTTTTGTGGCGTTAACCGTTTTCTCTTTTTTGTCTTCCTGCAGGAGCATGAGTTTGACCGATTAACAATGCAGTACGCCCCCACCGCCACAGCATAAAGCATCTGCTTTTCTTCAAGATACTTTGACAGTGAACTTTATGGAAAACCATGAAACCGTACCATCAAACCACCACTGCGTGTTTGATCTCATGGCTGTATTAAAACCCCTTTAGAAGTCATAATGAAGTCCTTATTTGATATGTGGGCGGATAGAACATCCTGTCTAGATATTCTATATAAATTTACATTTCTTTCACATCCATGTGTAATACAAACATTCCTTTGAAATGTTAATAAATGTGTGAAACCTGTGGTCTTTTTATGTTCATGAGACTAAACAGAAGTGTCACCTTCAAGTGCTTTTTCATAGTGTTAGATTTTTGTGTTTTCTTTGTGGGGTTAATTATATTTTGGAGGCTTGCGAGGCTAAATTGCCCTGTCTCTTTAAATCATCCTTTCTCATCTGATTCAAGCAGAGTGTTGTAAAGAAAATAGCAGGCCTTAATACGTCACGGCATCACCAAGTAAAAAAAAAAAAAATCCGTTTTCACATAAACGCAGCCGCTGAGCCGCGCTGCCCCTCAACGCACCGGTTCATCCCTGCGGGGAGCTGCGCGCGCCTCCTTAAAAACTTCTCTGGACGCAGGAGGAGGAGAAGCTCACTCCGGAATATTCTCCTCTAATTTATCCCTTAAATAAACTGGAATAACTTGCTCTTGTGTGAGACACTTGGTTCCGAAACGTTACGTAAGGCGAATAACGGAGATGAGCGCGCGTGTCTGACGCCGGTGTTACATTAGCCTTTATGGCTTTGCGGGTGTGGGTGAGCAAAACACACCTCCAGATGAATCCGTTTATGTATGTTAAAGGCTAATTCATTCATGTAGCCTGTTAGCTTGGAGCCCGCCGGCTGCTGTGCGGTTTACTGTAAGCTAGGCGGCTAACCTGACGAACCGTGCGCGCGCAGTGAGATGAAGAGGAGCCGCGTTCACCAGACCGCCGCAAATGGCTCCGAATAGCTGCTAAAATCCACTCGTTGGATAATTTGTGTGTTTGTAATTCTCTTCCAAACAGCTGACGAGTGGTGGGCGCTGCAGGGAGCCATAAAACTGTCCTAAAGTGGACCCATGTCTTAATTAGGAAGACAAAGAATTAGGCTAAGCTGGTTAGATAAGCTGCGCCGCCGGTCAGTCATCACAGACGGGACTGAACTGCTGGAGGCGTTTCTCCCGGCTTCTTTCTTTCTCTCTCTCTTTTTTTTTTCTTCTTTTAAATTGAAACATCTCTCCGTTGTTTCTGCGTCGCACCACGATGAGCAGTGATGGCGGGAGCGCCGGGCCGGTGGAAGTGGAGCCCATGCCGGGGTACTGGGAGCTCCTCAGCCGAGGGTCCAGCGTGATGCTGGGCGCGTGGAGAGACTGTGGCACCTGCGGTCTGGAGCTCTCCAGACAGACCCTTCTGGATAACGCTTACATCACCTGGACCGAGATCGCCCTCTTTTTCTTTTGTGCCGTTTTGTGGACGATGGTCAGGCGGGCACTGACAGAAAGTCTGTTTGAGGTGGGTACCATTTCTAATCCAGTCCCCCCCCCCACACACACACGCACACGCACGCAGCAAGAACAGTGCTTGGTGCTTCACTCAGCTCAACCACACTGTCAGGAAATATGAACTTGACTCACACAGGCTTTAAACACATCTGCTGCGTTCACAGACTAGTGTGGCTTCTGTGCGTCATTCAAGATGGAGCATCAGATTCAAATGAGGCGAGGAAGCGTGCACGTTTCTCAGAAACCATGTGTACCTGCTTTGCACATGCTCTGAACATATTACAGTATGGTGAGCAGAGAACTAACATGTTGGACTTGTTCACTCACACTTTTACTGTAAAAAAAAACAAGATTTTTTATTTTAAGTAGTATTTACATTTTTGTGTGCATAGCATCAAAGAGTGACTGCTGCCTTTATTCTAACACAAGCTGCTAGATCTGTTGCTTTTTTATTATTAGAAAAAGGGTTTATTTTAGGGTTCACACTGACTGTAACATTATCCCAACCTTTCATAGTTGTTCATAGTTGTTGGTAGTATACGTTCATCTCTAAATTGTAATAACACAATTAGTAACACTTTGGCAAATGAATGCAAATAACCCTATTTTGAATAAGCCACAGATAAATCCACAAACACATTTAATGGAAATCAAATATATTTAAACATATTGTGTCTATATATGTGTATATCGGTGGGCTGCTGTGGCTGAGTGGTTAGAGCATGTTGCTCTCCAATGAGAGAGTTGTGGGTTTGATTCCACCAGCAGTCACATGTTGAAGTGTCCCTGGGCAAGACACTGAACGCCTCGTTGCCTCTGATGTGTGTCCCATCGATGTATGAATGTGATAAAGCTCTGATTAGTCTCTTTAGAATGATTTGTTTGATTTAGTAGAGTGCTGTGTGGAGGTAAATGAGGGCACAGATTGTGTTGTAGAGCGCTTCTTGATTAGATAAAAAGGTGCTATATAACTACAGTCCATTTTCCACATATAACATAATGTACACTAACAATTTCTAGTACACTTTTTTGACTAATTCTGATTGATTTATGATAAATTCACAAGCAATCAAGAAATAATGTTCTCAATGCAAAAAAAAATACACTTATCTTTTTTTCTACATCTGATATAGTGTATTTCTTTAAGACGGACACCTACATTTCAAGTACTGTAACACTGAAGATGACACATGTAAAATATAACACTAAATGAATACATTAAAGAAGAGCAAAAGCATTTTTAAAGCATACTAAAAACAGAAACACAATGCTTTTCCCATCATCCTTAAAATGCATTTCTGTGGGACAAGAAGCACATGGTGCCAAGAGTAAGGTTTCAGAGAGAAGACTGCAGCTTTGTCAAAAAACAAACGATAGACAAGATATCTAAAATGATACATAAATAATAAAAATAAATCCTATAAATCGTTCCCTTTTCTTTGTTTTTCCACATAAGTGTGTTGAAAACATTTGGTGGGCAATGAGGCTAAAATAATGTTTTATTCATTTATTTTGTTTCTCCTAAAACCTCTTGAGAAACAGTCCATTTTACTGAGTCAGCTGCGACTTCCTAATGAGATCCGTCAGAATTCAAAGTGTCTCTTCACGTCATAAATCGGATATTGTTGCCGGTCTCTTCTGCTCAATGGTTTGCTTCTCACATTAGCTCCATGCTGCTGCTAGTAAATTAGGGCGCCTTTTGAGATGCCTACACTTACTGTGGCGTCTCTAAAAGCAGCCTAACAACATCTTATACAGTACTGGAGACCAGACACTCAGGCAGACTGGACTTATGCCCACATTTCTTACATCCTCCTCAGCCATCAAAGGTTTCAGTGCCTCCCTCTGTTAGCATTTGCCCAGTAGGGGTCTTCTTTTCATGGAAAGCTCAGATGTAGTTTCTTACTTTACCATCATGATGAGAAGTGGAGTTTATACAATGATGGTGCCACCGAGCAGTGTGCTGCAGCTCAGGGTCTCATGTGTGAAAGTCAGACATGGCCAGAGAATGCAAAGAACGTGACCTAATTTCCTTTTTGTTAATGATATGTAATCATGTCAGCATCTTCTTTACCAACTTGCAAGCACAGTCTGTGAAGGATGAGGTGAAACACTGAATTAAAACTCAAAGTGCCATTGATTATTCATCACCACCTAGGCAGAGTGTGCTTATATTAGGGATGAAGAGGATAGGTTCAGCGTGGGGCAGCCATACGGAGCTTATCCAGTTCCAGTATTGCTCTTCCACATCACAACACTGAAGTGTGCTGCCAGAGGAGCACACCGAGCTCTTATCTGACCAGAGGACATGATGGTGCTTGTTTGAAACAAGCCCATCCACTCCTGCATGGAGTAAAATGTAAACTGCTCAGTTAAGAGTGATTTTTACTGTAACTAGAGGAAGTGCATTTCCTGCATAAATGCAGTGTGAATGCAGAAGAACTTGCTGAAAAACTGCAGAAATTAAATAAAAACATGCTGAAATGTAGATGAAATGGAAGAACAAGCCTAAATTAGCAGAGGGAAGCAGAAAGAACACATATTTGCTGAATTAGGTTTAAATAAAAAGAAATGAGCACAAAAAATAGGAAATTATCTATAAAAAAAGGCTGAAAATAGCCAAAAAAGTAAAAGGCAAAAATAAGCTTAAACTACCAGAAGGAAGCAGAAATATCTGAAATTAGCTAAAAAAAAAAAAAAAGTGGAATTAGATGAAAAGAAAAAAATAACATCAAAAGAGCTAAATGGTAGCTAAAATAGCAGAAAAAGCTGAAACTAGTAGAAAAAAGAGGCAGCACGGTGGCGCAACTGGTAGAGCTGCTGCCTCTCAGCGAGCAGGTCCCTGGTTCAAACCCTGGTCCAGGGGCCTTTCTGGGTGGAGTTTGCATGTTCTCTCCGTGCATGCGTGGGTTTTCTCCGGGTACTCCGGTTTCCTCCCACAGTCCAAACACATGCATGTTAGGCTGATTGGTAACTCTAAATTGTCCCTAGGTGTGAGTGAGAGAGTGAATGGTTGTTTGTCTCGTTTGTCTCTATGTGGCCCTGTGATGGACTTGCGACCCGTCCAGGGTGTACCCCGCCCCTCGCACAGTGGTTGCTGGACATGGGCACCAGCGACCCCCGTGACCCAAAATGGAATAAACGGGTAAAGATAATGGATGGATGGATGGATGGATAGTAGAAAAAAGCTGAAAGGAGCATAACAAGCTGAAATTAGCAGCAAGAAGTTATTTAGGCTGAAAGTAGCAGAAATTACCACCAAAAAAACTTAACATTCTCTGAAAACAGCTAAAATTAGCTAAAAATGCTAAAAAGTAGCTGAAAAGTTAGAACAAGCTTAAATTAGCAGAAGAAAGCAGAAATAACATGTTTGCCCAGTTAGGCTGAAAGAAGCAGAAATTAGCTAAAAAAAAAGAAGTGAAAATTATCTGGAAAAAAGCTGAAATTACCAGACAAAAAAAAAAAAAACCAGCCGAAAAGTAGCTTAAACAGCAGAAAGTAGCTTAAGCTACCAGAAGCAAGTGGAGAGAGCACATTTTTGCTGAATTAGACTGAATATAGTTGAATTGAGTGAAAAAAATGTATAATTTGCCCCCAAAAAATGTAAAATTAGTGTAAACACAGCTAAATAATAGCTGAAATAGCAGAAAAAGCTGAAACGCAGAAATAAGCTGAAAGGAGCATAACAAGCTGAAACTAGCAAAGAGAAGTTAAAAGAAGCACATAAATGTTGTCGTTAGCAGAAATAACCTGAAAGGAGCACAAAACAGCTAAAAGTAGCTGAAAGTAGCTGAACCAGAACAAAATGTGAAAGGAGCAGTATAAGGTTGTAAACAGATCCAATGATTTGGAGGAGGTAAAATGAGCTCAGTTCATTTTCTATGAGAACAAAATGGCAGAAAAGGCTAAATATTTCAAAAAGCTTAAGTTGCACCAATACCAAAAGTCATATCAGGATTGTCCTGAACGAGCTGAATGTTTTGCTGAAATAGTACAAAAATTGTGGAACGAGAAAGATGCCGAAAAACGTACAGAAAAAAAATGGATCACAATAGTGAGAATGCTTCATAAACATTCACACAACAATGTATACAGCGAGCACCTGTTACAACAGAGACTATCATGTGTTCACGTGTGTTAATAAGTTTATGAGACCAACTGTTGTTAACAGATTACTTGTAATCTTACCCCTCTGTGACCATCTGAAATCTGCAATGATTGACATGATATAATAAATACTAGTTTTAGACAGAAGTGTATATTAGTAACTTTTACATTTTTGTAAACTGAACATTAAGACATTTTATATTAAACTCACACTTTTAATACTGTATCTATAAATAAATAAGGAATAAATGATTAAAAAAATTATTGCGTCTCTATTTTTTTTGTCAGACATTGATGGGCGCAGAATTTATATGCCGCAGGCCGATGGATAAAAATAATTAGTTTCCTGTTTAGTTACTTACATCTCAGAGTTATGTTTGAAGAGCGGAAGGTGACCCAGTTCAGATGCACGTTTACTGTGATCTGTACTTTCCACTGTACAACTCACCAGCATGAAACGAGATAAGAAACTAACTGATTTGAGATATACATCTGTTTGTATGCTATGGCTGAACACATTCACTGTCAAAAGAAGCACCTCCTCATCTTTTGCTGGCAAGACTTATAACTGCAGCAAATAAATGATCAAGTTGAATTAAAGAACACCGGTAGGCTCTTTTATGACTTTGGGTGAACCTTGTACAAGGCTGTGCAAACGCTATAAACTAAGTCCTTGAAGGAGCAAATTCTTGTTCCAGACTTGGGTGTTCAGCCTCTGTATTAAAGACATACTAAAAATAGAGTAACTTGTTACTATACTTATTCAACTTGGAGTTTTGCTGGTTGTCACTGTGCTTTAACAGCATTTTTTTTTCCATGTTGCTTTGCATTTGAGTGGGAGTATAAACCATAGCAGCACTTTGCCTGGTTAAATTACCGTAATTTCTGGACTATAGGCCGCTA